TTCAATTACTTCTTAATTCAGTCATTTCCATGAGCTTCTTTAAGCCCCTCTATCTGTCCATTTATTTCACATAGCAAAATGTCCTCTGGGTTCATCAACCATTTAAGGCAAACACTAAAAAAAAACAAAAACCCATTGACATTGAGTTGGTTTTGACTCACAGCAACTCTATCTAGGGTTTCTGAGGCTGTAAAATCTTTATGGGAGTAAACAGCCTCATTGTTCTCCTGAGGAGTCACTGATGAGTTTGAACCACAGACAGTGCTTTGTAGTCCAAACGCTTACCCAACAGCACCATGGGGCTCCTAAGTAGCATAAAGAATAATCCTGAGTCTGTGAAACATCTCATAAGATGGACAAAGCACTTTACATTGTTCTCTTCTCATTCTAACTCTCCAGGTATGGTTTTATTGGCTCTGTTGCCAATTTCCTCCAATGCTCATCCTACAAATAACAATATTGTTACTCTATGAATCTAACCTCTGAATAGGAGACCCCAAATGATAATTGTGATTTATTGAACATTACTATTCTAATGATGCGTCACTCAGTCTTATAACCATCCTGCGTAAGTCCTATTACATTAAAGCCTGTGATAAACCTGGGTTCCAATGTAAGACAATGAGAGGAAGAAAAAGACCGCATAGGTGGAAAGGGCAGCAAAATGAGCTGACAAACTGAACATATTCTGAGCATGTTTACAACCAACCTTGCCAGGCTTTGAGAGCTTGGTTAAATTATTTCAAAGTGCTACTGTTTTGCTTCATAAAATAGGGGTAATGCAAGGAAAATGAAAACATATGCTTACGTAAGGATGTGGATAGGATTGTCCGTAACAGCTTTATTAAGAAACCTCCAAAAGCTCTGGGGCCCAGCTTTCCGACAAACAATAGGAAAAAGTGAACAACAACAAGAGGGAGGTGTGCACTCATTCATATGAGGCCCAAACGGCAGCGCCGGCCCAGGCAGAAAACTCAGAAGGCAGGTAAGGGGTAGAAAGAAGGACAAGTAGAAAACTCAGAAGGCAGGTAAGGGGTAGAAAGAAGGACAACCGCAAATGGCAGACACGGGGAGGAAGTAGAAGAGAGCTGTTACATTGTGAGAACCACAATCAGTGTCACAAAACAAGATACATGCTATGAATGGAATCTAAAAACGATTTGCTCTGTCAGCTTTCACCCAATCAACAGTGAAAAACATAACAAAACTAAAAACTCTAAACCTAGGAACAAGTCAAATATCCATCAACAAGCAAACGTATCAACATATTGTGGTGTACATCCTAACAATAAAATCCGACTTGGCAAATAAAAACCAATCAACTACTGCAACACATAAACTTACTGGTGATTTTCAGAATAATTATGCTGTGTAGAAAAGACCACACTTCTTACTGTCTGTCCCCCCGCCCCAAATAAAAAGATATTAAGAATACATTCTATGGCTTTATTAATATAGAAAGTACTAGAAAACGAAAAACTAATCTGTGGTACGAGAAGGAATTTTATTTCAATACAGTTAAATGCTATACCAACTAATAAAAAGAATAATGCCTATAAAAAACAAGCCAACTGACATCAAGTCAATTCTGACTCATAATGACCCTATCGGACACAGGAGAACTGTTCCCTAAGGTTTCCAAGGCTGTAAATTATTTATTTTTAGGGTTAAGGTTAGGGTTAGTTATAACACCTGGGTTAAGGATTAGTAGTAGTCAAAGTTTAGAGTTACAGTTAGGGTTAGAGTTTTAGGTTTAGGGTTAAAATTAGGGTTTGTGTTAGGGTTAGTGTTCAAAGCTGTAAATCTTTACCAGAGCAGAAAGCCTCATCTTTGTCCCTTAGAGAAGCTGGTGGGCTCAAACAACTGACCTTGATGTGAGTGGCCATAACCCACTCACTACTCCACCAACTCAATGCTGACTCATAGCACACTCCCACCCCATGCTTTTTCCAGGCTGTATCTGTTCACAGCGTAGAAAGACCAGTCTTTCTCCTGCACAGCTGCTGGTAGTTTCAAACTGCCAACCAAGCTGATGGCACCCCAACACACAACCACTACCCCACCAGGGCTTCTCCACGGCTCCTAATGAAAGTCTTAAACACTTTTAAGAAACAATTCATTTAAGGCTTTTTAAAACACACATCTGTGAGCAAATCACTGTTCTACATAATGATTTACATACATTATTTCATGGAAAAATCTTTTTTTTTTTCCTTCCATGAAAAATCGTAGAGATATTTCAAACAATCTCCATTTTACATAAGATGTTAAGATGTTCACAATGTGTTAACCTGTCCAGGTCACACACTGTAAGAGGTAAAACAGTCTGGTCTGATGGATTCCAAAATCCATGGTAGTAATCTTATTTCACTGATAGACTGTTGGCATTAGAAAGGCAAGTCTCAGAATCTAAGTAGATGACCAGGAACAATTTCACAGCCACACTTATATTCCAGTACATTAAAATGAGAAAATTTGTATCACTTACCATATCTGTAGCTTGATCTTCTTTCCTTGTAATTCAACTGTTTTGATCTTAAAATCTATTCCTGCAACAATAGAAAATGGTAAATTTTAACAGTGGCTGTGGTTGGTTATATTAAGTAGGAAAAAAAATGCTTACACTTTTCAAATTTGTGTTTGGCTATGAAACATCACAAGTATGCAATTCTGAGCAAATGTGCTCTATTTAAGACCTGTAAGATCTAGGATGGCCTAAGAAATAGCTATAGAAAGGACAACAAAACCAAGGTATGGTTGACTGAGTTACTTGATATGGCTTTTCTTATTATAAACCTGCCCACTGTCAGAGTAAATTCTGATTCATGGTGACTCGGTACTGCCCATTTGGGTTCTCAAGAATGTAAATTTCTACAGAAGACTAAAACTTTTTAGACAACCTTGCATTTCTCCCAGGAGTAATAAGTAGCTGGTAAATTTGAACCACCAACCTTGTGGTTAGCAACCCAACCCTTAACCCCACTACACCGCCAGGGGTCCTCTTCTAACTATAGTCTTTGTACTGCTTGTCAAATGACTGGGTAAAACCCCAAACCAAATCTTTGTCAATGAGTTGATTCTGACTCAAAATTACCCTAGCAGGACTGAGCAGAACTGCCAATCTTGCAGTTGGAAGACCTACAGGTTAAGCAAATCACTTATACACCAGCAGGGTTTTCTAATGACTGGGTAGGACTGTGCAAATGTAATGTGGGTGTTCTATGTTGGAAAGTGTTCTTATACAATACTGTTAATTAATCTCAAAAAGTACTCTCTATTTTTCAACTCTGTTCTAGAATTCATTGCAATGGCCACAAAGAACACCCAATCTTCCTAATTACAATACAGGTAAGAAATGCTTAGAATGTAGTTGTTCAGTCACACATTTTACAAAGTTCCTAATAAATGCCCAAATGGCATACCACCCCACTACATGCCTCAAACTGAAGGCACTCAGCTTCAGTTCCATGGGTCAGCAAACTCAGCTTCCAAAATTAAGTGTCCAGAAGCATTCCATTCCATATGCCAGGCCCAAAGCATGAAGCTTTATTTGCTCTACAGGCTGGTAACCCCACTCATCTGGCTCATGTTCTGGCTCCTTCCTGGTTCTACTGGGACTGCTCTACTGTCACTTCTCAGTTGTCACAACTGTCTTCCTGGTCAAGGAGGTTCATTGTGCAGGGATCTTGGGGTTCAGGAGACAAGCTCTTGCTGAGATATTCACCTCTCACCTGCTTCCAAGATAGTATATTCTCTTACCTAGACCCATCAAAAACAGGTCTTTTGGGGGGACTGTGCCTAGAAGAACACACAAAATAATTCACTGTCCTGTAGATAGCAGCACCCTTGTAGGGTAAAATCATGTAAGTAAGATGTATAGACTCCTCACATGGGGCTTCCACTGGGCTTAAAAGAAGCCACCCCAGGAGTACAACGGGTGCCATCAAGAAAGAAGAGCCCGGAGTGGAGTGTATCTTTTAGATCCCAAGATCTCTGAGCTGAATCTCCTTGACGCTGGAGACAGACCTGTGAAAACAAAAGAGCAAGAGAGGTAACAGAAATGTGGTAGAGATGTGGTGTCAGTGGAACCAAAGGATGAGAAAGCTGCATGGCCTTCAGACAGGAGGCTTACTGGCAGAGTGAGCTACCTCCAAGCCCTAAATCATGGAGAGCTGACCCATGGAACGAGAGCTAATTACCTTCAGGCTTACCAGCAGAGTGGGGATTTATTGGCAGTTACACTTGCCCAAGGAAGGCAGGAGGCCGAAGGCCTGTGCATACCTATGAGAGAAGACTGTCAGCATACTCAGGCTATGAAGAACTGTGTTATGCATGCTCCTGAACCTGAACTGTAATGCTACTTCCTTAGTATAGATCACGATTTTAAGTATGCTTTAAAATTCTGTGTAGCGACTGCAACAAGTATAGTGTCTAGCCAAAACGTAGAGACTACTGTGGGAGGGAGCGTTGGTAAAGAAAGTTTGAGGGCAGAGGCTTGTCTGATCTTAGGCAGATGTTGAGTTTGATACTCTTTCCCTCCTCCTTGTGAAGTGAGAATTGGACCTCACAACTGGACTAATAGACTTCATGCTAAATGAAGAAAAGGTTGAAATTGTCAAAAATTTCAGTTTAAATCACTTTTCAGCCTTTTAGCTAAGATCAAATGTAATAAGAATTTCCGTTTGCTTGGGTCCCCAATCAATGCTCGTAGAACAAGCAAATAAGGATTGCAGTTCGGCAAATCTGTTGCACAACATCTCTTTAAAGAAGAGCCAAAAAAAGAGCAAGGATGTCACTTTGAGGACTAAGCTGATTTTCACCCAAGTCCTGGCATTTTCAATTGCCTCGTACGCAGCTCTTTAGAAGCTGGTCAACGAATAAGGAAGGCTGCAAAAGTCATGGTGTTTTTTAATTAAGGTGCTGGCAAAGAATAATGAAAGTACCGTGGCCTGCCAGGTGTCCTGGGAGGAATACAACCTAGGTGCTTCTCAAGAGTGAGGTTGGTCGAGACTGTGTTTGATGTACTTTAGACGTGTTATTGAGAGAGCTCAGTCCTTTTAAAGGGCACCATGCTTGGTAGAGTATATAAAAATGACCCATAATGAGATGGATTGAAATTGTGGCTGCAACAAGCCTCAAACATAACAATTGTGAAGATGGAGCAGGACTGAGCAGTGCTGCTTTCTGTAGGACCTCAAGTCTCTAAGACTTGGAATCAACTAGACACCACCTAACAACATAACAATAACTTGCCTCTCCTGTCTCATCCCCCTTCCCCGGCTTCCTCCAGCAGTCATATTCAGGCAACATTTTTATAGTTCTGCACTTTTCCAAAGTACCTTTGCCACGTCAACATGTATTTCCCACATCTTTACACACATACATAATTATGGAAAAAATCAGATAAGATACAGTAGTAAAGTTTGGATAAAATTTAGGAATTCAAACATCATAGATCAACTACCAAGAGAAGCAAGAAAAACCACACTTTAAGATTCTGCCAGCAGACTAACTTGCAACACTAGCATTTTCTTAATTACTACAGGCTAGAACAATAATAGAGTTTGAAGCAACCAGTAATTCCTTTTGTAGACTTTGAAAATCCCCCACTTTACAGATTCTTGGAACCTAAATCTAAGAGTATTTCAATTTCCCACAGATTGGCCCATTAATCAATTTCAGGAGCTCAGCAAAGATAAGTAGCGGGCAACACATCTGCCTTAAGGATGTTACAGAAGCACCATCCAGTGGCAAGAGGAGTAAAAGCAACTTCAAGTCACTATATGCACTACTTTTCCGAAGCATGGCTTCTGGCGACACATCAATACATGGGGATTAATGCAGACAGAGGCTTTATGATAAACTCCAGGCAGCTAGCTAAAGTTCAAGTGAATTTATAGCTACTGATTGGTATCTGTAATTTCTACTAAAGTGAAAATCAAATGTTTTCACACCAGGAGAGAAAGTAAAAACCATATATGTGCATCCTTTGTCACATTTTCTAGATTTTAAGGGACCTTAATTTTAGTCCTAGCTCTGCTACTGATTAATGACACAAATTTAGCAAAGACTATTTCCTAATAAGGACATTACTGTTTTATTCTGTATGCAAATATAAAAATGCAGAATGTGAGTAAATTCCTTCTAACGGTCTTTTATATAATATCAATTAATTGCTCAGTTAACACAGTGAGAACTTACAAAATGTTGGCACTATTTTAAATCATTTGAATGTATTACTAACACATTAAATACTAAAAAAAATACCTAGTCTGTACTATTACTTCCATTTTACAAACCAAAAAATTCCAAATTCACTGCCATCAAGTAATGCTGACTCATAGTAACACTCCCCCCACTCCCCACCCTTCTGTGGGTTTCCAAGACTGTCAAGTTTACCGGAATAGAGAGCTCAGTCTTTCTCCTGAGGAGCTACTAGTGGTTTCAAATTGCCAATCATGTGGATCGCAGCCCAACACGCAACCACAACACAAGGGCTCTTCCACTCTACAGAGGAGGAATAAAATAAAAAGCAAAAGCAATAATAGATATGATTGAACTATCAAATTGCACGATATGTGGGTCAAGTGCCAAAAATGTTTTAAAAAACGAACAACCAAAAAAGCGAAACATTCCATTTTTTAAAAAGCAGTAATCATAGTGGCATTCCTAACATTTACTAGATAATTACTAAGCATGCTAAGCATTTTGCATATGCTGCTGTCATTAACAATCACAAGAATCCTCCCTGGCCACCTTGAAAAAGAGAAAATTAGAGGCAGTTTACTTAAGGTCACTGGCCAGGACCAGGGTTCAATTCTCTTGTCTGTTTGACTTTACACCACACAAGCTATAAACCTACGTTAAGTTCATAGTGTACAATAAGTTCCATAACTCCACTAATTTTACTTTTTTAAATATCTGAGAAGGAAGAAGTTCCAAGGAACTGATTCATTCTAATGAAGGAACCAACCCCCAAATCATCTTTTACCCACTACAAAGATCTAAATTCAAAACCACTCACTACCATGGAGTCCACTCTGTCTCAAAGCTATCCTATCTAACTGGATCACATAAGCATTTCCAATCAAAGTCTGCTCTTCATCAACACATATTAAAAATTGCTAGGCTTCTGTGAAACATTAGCCTCTGGGAAGACCACTCAGGCAATTGTGTCCAATGCCCTAATAATGCTACATCTCTAAAGAAATGAAGATGTGCCCTTTAAACCAGTGGCTCTCAACCTTCCTAAGGCCACCACCCTTTCACACAGTTCCTCGTGCTGTGGGGACCGCCCCTCCAACCATAACATTAGTTTCATTGCTACTTCATCACTGTCATTTTGCTACTATTATGATCAGGTGACCCTGTAAAAGGGCCGGTCAACCCCCAAAGGGTCGCGACCCCCAGGTTGAAAACTGCTGCTTTAAAAAGATGATGGCAACTTAATAAAAAGCTCTCTGAGAAAATTAAAATGGCAAAAAATGAACACAGGGGCAAAATGTACCCAGAGTTCTCACAAACTTGCCATGGGCAGGAGTGTGAAGAG